GCCAATATATCCTCCAGAACTATCTGAAGGATATCCATTAGCTGCGACAATTAGCGTCAGAGATATAAATCATTCGGTAAAAATCTATTCTTGCTCAGTTTCCATGTGTTCTTGCAGCTTGGCTACGTCTTTAGAAGATATATAGAGTAATTTGATGCCATTTTTGTCTTTTTTTAAAGTTCTTGCTGCAAATGATTAAACTAGTACATTCACATGCTCTTCGATTACTCTGATACTACCACTGTCCAGTTGATATGAACAATACTCTAGAAAGTTAGTTTTGCGTCCTACGCCAAGTTTTCAGTTCTTTATGAAATTTATGTAGATTGGAAGTCGACTTGCATTATGTTTCTTTGTCGGTATGATGAAAACAATCAAGGTAACATAAAACGTGATTTTGTTTTGACTATTCTAGATAACCGCAAGTGGTGAATTCGGAGACTATCATCGGTTGCTAGCACCAGGCAGGATTTATGAAGGTTGGTCTTTGGTCATATATATATATATATATATATATATATACATATGTATGTTTCTTGTTACTGTAGAAGCAATTTATTTGATGTTGTACTATTGATGTGCATAGGAACTGCGTTTATTTAAATTTTTCTCTTGTAAATGCAGTGACATCGAGCATGGCGGGATACTACAAACGCAGTACTTCTGTATTCCTACCCAATCGCACTGCCCTTGCTTTGGATTTCATCCTTGATCCATTACCTACTGCTACTGGTGACTCATTCCGTTCTCATAATGCTATTTCTGCACGCGCTCGACTTAGGGGTCACAGCCTGTTTGACGAGGAAAAATTGAGTGTAATGATCCCACCAAATCCACCAAAATTTGCTTCTGGAAAAACACCGAGTGAACTGGAACTTAAGATACCAGGTACTGTGTTGCAGACGCAACTTGTAGAGATGGTTTCCTGGAAGCCGACAAAAATTTACGGGAACGGAGTGCATTTAGATGATGACTCAGGATTTGCCCTACCTGCACAATACCATCCAACATACGTTTTCTCTATAGCTTCAGTGTTGGCTATTCTAATTTGGCTGTTTTACGCATCTAGAAGTAGCTATCGCCAACGTCAGAAAATTCCTAGTTTGTAAAGAGTGAACACAGCAGATAGCGATATTGAAATCTCATGTAGGTCGAAGATGACATTCATCATGATACTGAAGAACCTTGAGGAATTGGGGATGACCAAAGGAAGGCGTAGCATCAATTTGGTTGGCAATGGTATACAGCTTTTTCTTGGCGGACAGACCAATTCATGTACATCTGTCTTTGTAACATTTTCTGTCTAAAGGCTGACCACTATTTGCCAGTGTTCCAGGGTCTGCACATCTTTGCAACCTTAAGATGTATAGACTCTAGTTTGGCACTGAAGTCGAATTGGCGAAGCGATGTTAATGATCTTATACCCCATCTCTGTCAGGATTTGCTAAAAGAGTCGTCTGGAAACTACTTAAATTTCCTATGCGGTGGAAACAACTCTAGTTTCCGTGAACAGAACCTGTTGAAAGACATCATTTTACTGAATCGGTTACTGTCCTCGATATCTCAATCAACCTGGTTATTGTAGTCTAGTGAATGAAAGATTTTAGAAGCATCCACGTTGTTTATTATCTGCTTCATGATTGATCCTTAATCTTTCTCTGATGCACGTAAATTTAGGAGTGCTCCTTCTATAGTCATTTCTAGATAATCACCTAACATTTTAGCTCTGCCCTGCAATGATCTCGTTGCAGTAACCTTTTGAGAAGCAGATACCATGTCGGTAAGCACGCTTGTTTTTGAGCTCAGGTGGTGATAAAAATTTCTGTTAGCGCCTGACATCAACTTGTATGTGACGAGTTCCATTGAAAGTGGATTACCAAAGAAAGTTATTCAATTGAGCAGCAGGTGACTCTACCTAGCATTGATTACTTTTCATGTTCACTCTATTGTTATTTAATTAATTAATTTTATGTACAAACTCAATGGGCTCAAGCACCTTCCAATGTTTAAACTTGGAATGAAGGTGGTCTTTTTGTCAGATTTGGATTTAGTGTACCAATTGGAATTATATAGATCTTCCTGAGATGTATTAGTTTAACTTTTATCTAATATCATTGTCATATATATATAGATCTTCCTGAGATGTATTAGTTTAACTTTTATCTAATATCATTGTCATATATATATATATATATATATATATATATTCTAAAGTCGATTCAAATTCTATATCAAAATTTAATCAATTGAGTGTTGGGTTCTAAATTTTAAAAATTTATTATTATTATTATTTATAAAAAATACGTATGGAGTTATTTTTAGAAAACAGTGTTGAAGATATCAATTTAGAATATGTAAATATCAGTTAACTTCATGCAACAATAAAATAAAATAATGTTTAAAGTTTCTTATTCATATGCTTTAATTCTCAAATATGCAGAATAAATCTTTTGTACTTTTTTGTTTATTTTTTAATTAAGGTCTTTATGAAAAAGAATGTTGACAAATATATCAATAGATTGTGTAGTCAAACTAGAAAAGTATAAAAATTATAAAATTTGAAGAAAATAGAAATGTTATTAAAGACAAAACATGATATTTGACTTTTTGTAATTACTTACAAAGGTTATATATTTTTTGCAATAATTTTCTATATTAAAACTTGTATATCAATGATTTAGATAGGAATTAAGAAGTCTTCCTTTAGAAGGGCTACATTTCTTTTTTTAGCAATATCTTCATCAAAGAATTAAGTTAAAAAGATAATATATAAAATTATATTTGTATGCATGTTCTTGTTTATACAAATACTTTTATACATATGAAAATTAAATAATATTGTGTGATATTTAAAATTAAAAAATCTTATTTTTGGTAATAACTTAGTAATGTTGAATTGCATAGTCTAATTATATGTGTATATATAAAAAATATATATAAATATATGAATTATTTATATTATATATTATAATTATATTTTTAAAAAGCATATATTATATAAATAAATCATATATATATATATATATATATATATATATATATATATATATTTGTTATATAATATGTATATATATGACTCATATCTTAGAAAAGATAATGTCTATTTTATCTAATAATAGGATATATATATATATATATATATATATATATATATATATATATATATATATAATATAGTATAATTTATTTGCTATTTATTATTCTATCTTGTACTTTTGATTTTTGATTTAAAAAATATTATGTAGAATAAATATCTTTACTATTAAAAAAATAAATAGAAGTAAATTAAAACATCTTATGTAAATATTACCTTTCTTATAAAACATCTTTTATAAAAATAAAAAATAAAAAAAAATAAAAAATAAAAAAAACATAGATTAAATATATATGTTCTTTTAGATATGTCATATAGATATAAAAAAAAATAAAAAATAAAAAAATAAATAATTTTTTGATGTTTTCTACTATGAAGAATCTACCATGGAAGACTCCTACAACTAAGAAGCTTAATCAACAAAGAATGTGATGGTTGAAAAGTTTCTATGTGGCTTTATTGTTAGCCAACACATATAGAAGAAAAATTTACCATTGTCAATGTATTTCTTTTATCTTCCTTTTGATTTAAGACTCTTTAGTTTCTTTGTATTTGACAATAATTATTCTATTTTTTAATATTTTATTAATAATACATAAAAACATTATGTATTAATAATTTTATTTAGATTCACATTTATAAAAGTTTGATTAGACTTACATACAAATTCAAATTGTAGCATTTTTTTGTTTAAGAGTGGATTTTTTAAAATTTATTATAGTGTCATTTTTTTTCTTATGTAGATAATCTTATATAATTTGATTTTTACAAAATTAGAAGATATGAAAAATATTACAACACATATGTAAGATTTAAAAAAAAAAATGATATTTGTTGTGAATTTTACCAATATATTTTAATTGGTGGATATATTTTAAAATGTATTCTAATGTTGTTAATACAAAAAATCTTAAAAATTAAGATTTGTATATTATTAAAAGTATTTATTAAGACTTAATAAAAAAATCAATTCACATAAATCTTAATAGTAACAAATATTAAAATATATTTTTTAGTAAGTCTTTGAAGTTATTATTTTAGTTTGTCCATTATTTCATGTTATTTTTTTTTATTGATATTTTTAATAAGTCATCGAAACTAAGATGTAAAATATTATATTTTTTAAAACCAATAGTAACTTACATATAATTTTAAGTAGGTAGGAGAAGCCTAAAAAAGAATATAATAATTTTTTTTTCTATGATTTGTAAAATAATATAGATTTTATTTTATTTAAGTATTTTTTAGAGCCAAAACAATTACTGGGATGTAATAAATTATTTTTGGTTCGGTATAATAATTTTTAAATAGTTTAATTATTATTATTTTTTTGAATTATTTAACGATTTTTAATACAAATATTTAAGTTTCTTTTAGAAATTATTTTACCAACGATTGGATGTTGTTATAAAAAATTGGAGCAAGATTTGAAAATCTTGTCATGTTTTTGAACTAATTTTGTATTTATAAATACCATAATAAAGTTAGAAGTAAGCAACATGATAATTCTAAAATTGTAAGTCCCTTTAGAATATCTTTTAGACTACTTTCAAACCATTGTGTGGTTTAATCCCTTGATTACTTAAACAAGTTATCCTTGAAGTAAATCACAATAACTTCATTTTTTAAATTTTTACTTATTATTTTTAATTTATTATCAGTTCTTTATAATAATTCCAATCAATTTTTTTTATTATCAATAGAAAGAGAGAATATCAAGTCATAATTGAGGCTATTTTATAGTTTAGATTGAGAGGTGTATTTTCTCTTTAAAGTTATCAAGAATTAACTTTATTCATAACTCCAACCATTGCAAATATTGATTGATAAAAAAAATAAAATTAAAAATATGAATATTATCTTATAAATTATATCTATTAATTAATTTTTTTTATAGAATTTTTACGATATTTAATTCAAAATTTTAAGATTCATTAAAAAAAATATGTGAAGTTTTTAATGATTTCGAATTTTAGATAAGTTTACAAAAAAATATGAAAAAGAGTTAAATTTTATTAGTTCTTATATGTATATATTAAAGAATATTTAAAAGCTTTAATTTATTTTTAGTAAAAAATAGATTAATTTATTAAATACAATCTAATTTTTACAACAACCAATAAAATCCATGTTTTGCAACATAAAAACTTGCATATTTTTTTTTATCAAGCATATGAATCTAGATGAAATTCTAAAAAATAAATTATTTATGTATTATTAAAAAGTGAGAAATTTAACAAAGAAAAAAAAATATAAGATATAAAAGTATTAGAATGAATATTATCAATACAAAGAAACTATAGAGTCTTGGATCAAGTATAAAATATTAGAAAAATATTGGAATGTTTACAAATAGCTTTAGTCTTATTTCCATACATATTAACTTTATAAAAAAGCTTGGTGAAAGTTTTTTAAAGACCATGAGGCTTGTGGTCTAAGCGTCAAGCTATAGATTGTTTTTAATGCGGCTTTTTAGAAAAAAGAAAGTTTTAGAACAAGTTTTAATATCTACATAACATATCAAGAAGAATATAAAGATCTAATTCATATTTTAAAATCTTTTTAAATTTTATAAAAGAAGATAATATTTTATTTGATATATTTCTATCTATTTTCACTTATGTTTATTTAATTAAGTAATATTAACATGTATAATATTCTCCACTTTTAGAAATGAATTCAACAAAAAGTAGCTAATTCATTTCCTAAATTAATAAGATTTAAGTTTTTTTAGATGATGTAAACAATAAACCATGATTTCTATTCTGCATAAAGGATGTTAATAGATTTTATAAGTTATTAATATTATCTTATAGTAGGACAAGAAGACCATGTAGTTATTTCATTATTTTTGTGGTTTTATATAACTAGATTTTTATACCATATTTTAAATAAAATTTGGATATAGTACCCACTTCAAATAGTATTATTTAGTATTAAAAATATTCTTTTAAAATTGTGGTACCATACTTATTTTATTGTTTTATATATTTAAAAAATAACATGTTTTTCTTGAGGATCTTTATTTCAATTCTAAAATTGTGAGAATTGAAATAATTTAAGTATTTTATGTGGTAATTTTGCAAATAAATTTTTTTGAAATCAATCATTTATTTGTTTGTTCTTTATCTTACAAAGAACTTTAAGAGTTGATTTAAAGCTTATTTCTTCTTGTATTACATTGGATTATTATTAATAATGGATCCTTGGTTTTAATAAATTCTCTCAATAAAGAAACAAGAACAAATTCTAATGCATTTGTAAAATTCTTAAATAGCTATTATATACATATTTTGGTGATACATTAAATTCAAGACTTCTTTCTTT